AAACCAACAACAGAACACCACTTGTCATCACCTACAACCCCCAACTTAAACCTGTCCAACACATTATCAATAAACTACAGCCTATACTGGAACAGGATACCATACTCAAAGAGGCTCTGGGAGACAGACCCATAGTCTCCTATAGACAACCACCTAACCTCAAGATGATTCTTACCAACCACCACAGGACATACCACACTAATACCAACCCTGGTACCTTCCCTTGCAACAAACCCCGTTGCCAGCTTTGTCCACATATTCATTCTGCTGATACCATTATTGGACCCAACCAAGTGAGTTATAAGATCAAGAACACATATCCCTGCGCATCCAGAAATATAATCTACGCTATCATGTGCCGAAAGTGTCCGTCTGCTATGTACATTGGACAAACATCTCAGACACTTCGCCAAAGGATTAATGCCCACAAAACAGATATCAGACAAGATCACAAAGAGAAAACAGTTTCTTGCCACTTTAACCAGAAAGGACACTCTCTAAATGACTTAGCCACCTGCATTCTGCTACAAAGACCTTTTACATCTGCACTTGAAAGGGAATCCTCTGAACTGTCATTCATGTTAAAATTCGACACTTACCAACAAGGACTTAACAAGTCTTTGAACTTTCTCACCCATTACCAAGACAGTTTCCCCAATTATCACCTGTAATACCATTAACTCACAAACATCCCACTCTCCCTACCTTTAATATCAGCAATTCACAGACACTTACCTTCCTTCCTCCCCCTTCCCACCCCCCCGCATCCCCCTTCTGTTCTGCAATGTGATTTGTCCTTTTCATATTTGTTCATTTTTTTTAAATTGTATCCTTTGGTATATATGGTTGTGACTACTTTCTTCCACTATTTGATCTGAGGAAGTGGGTCTGGCCCACGAAAGCTCATCATCTAATAAACCATCTTGTTAGTCTTTAAAGTGCTACATTGTCCTGCATTTTGCTTCAACTACCCCAGGCTAACACGGCTACATTTCTATCACCAATCTGGAGGGGAGCTAGAGCGTTAGTGTGGGAACCTTGAGTCTCGAGGGCCACACTCACGTGAGCTGGGCCTGGGCAGCCATATGAAAATAGCCTTTTGTCCTTAAGTCTTAGCACTGGTTGGTTTGGGGAAGTCACATGTCCACCCCAACTGGCCAGGTGACTTCCCATGCAAAAAGGGACTTTTTATAAACAATAGGAAAGTAGGAGTCTTTTGTCTGTGGCTGGCACACCTGAGCGAAGGAACCAAAGACCCCAGGGTAAGGGACAGCCCTGGCTTGGAAGGCTTTGCTGGAAAAGAGACAGTTTTAGGGTGAGTTTGTAATGAGTTTGTGTACTAAGGGTTCAGTGTTAGAGTTAGCTAAGCATTTTCTGTTATTTTGAGTTTATCTACTTCGCTCTGCCTGTTCCCACTTATAACCACTTAAATCCTACTGTTTATACTTAATAAAATCACTTTTATTTTCTGTCAAACCCAATGTAAATAATTGAAATAATTGATACCTGGGGAGCCAACCATTGAGTACATTTTCCTTTCATTGATAAAAGAGGGCTTACCCAAATAATTTATTGGGGGTTTTGATCCAGTTTGGGGAGTGGTATCCCAGGAAGGTGGGCCCAAAACTGCACTCTCCTTAGATTTGAAGAGTTTCGGTGTCTGTACAACTTCTCGGGCGGGGGTTAGGGGGAAGCAGGGGAAAGGAGGGAAGGCCAGAATCTCAGCTTGAGGCCTTTGGTTGGGGGAGACCAGGGAGCTGGCCCAGCAGAACCGAGTAGTGAGAAGACCCAGAGAGCGGGAAGGTGAGAGGCAGTGGCTGTGTCAGCACTCCGGGAGGCACCCCCAAGTGATCTTCTGTGGCCTCTCCCCATCACACATCTTAACTAAAGAGTCTGGGAAAGCCCACTGGGTGGATGGCAAGCCCCATGCATGTTATTTAAAGATATATAATGGATTTGACAAAACTTGTATTGTTCAGGAGAAAGCTGGGAAGTATAAGAAATATATTTCTGGGGGAAAATCTAAGAGTGGGGCCACTCGGAAGTATAACCAAGGTCATGCTGAAGTATAACCAGGGCTGGAGACAAGTGTGGCTGACAGGCTGCACTAAAACACACACTCGGAGGGTGTGACTTGTATGATAGAAGGATGTTTGTGACCAGTGAAGCTAAATCAGCAAGGCTTTATAAGGCATCCAAATTTACAAGGCAGCTCATTAGCCAGGAATGTACTCTGGTATGTCAGATGCCTAAGTCCAGACTTGGCATAGCCCAAAGCCGCTCAGAGTTTCAGCTCAACCAGGAACTGGCTCTGTGCAAACTGAATCTCTGGCTGTGTCTACACTGGGCCACTTATTCCAGAAAAGCAGCCGCTTTTCCGGAATAACTTGACAGCTGTCTACACTGGCCCCTTGCTTTTCCGGAAAAGCAATGACGATCTACTGTAAAATTGTCAGTTTTTTCCGGAAAAACTATGCTGCTCCCGTTCAGGCAAAAGTCCTTTTCCGGAAAAACTGTTCCGGAAAAGGGCCAGTGTAGCCAGCACAGTAGTCTTTTCCGCAAAAAAGCCCCAATCGCGAAAATGACGATCTGGGGTTTTTTCCGGAAAAGCTCATCTACATTGGCCACAGACGCTTTTCCGGAAAATGTGCTTTTCCGGAAAAGCATCCTGCCAATGCTTTTTCCGGAAATACTTATAATGGAAAACTGTTCCGTTTTAAGCATTTCCGGAAAAGGGTGCCAGTGTAGACGTAGCCTCTGTGAATATAGTTACTAACATGTAGGAAGCCGTTGGTGAGCATGTGCCACCTTCATTTTTTAAAGGTCTCATGACTTGGATTTTAGAGGATTTCCATGCAGTGGTAAAAGGCCAACGCCTCCCATAAAGACCATTCCCACAAAGTGCTAGATTTTTCAAAGAAAGGTCTTCACATTATTTTAAGTATCAGAGGGGTAGCCGTGTTAGTCTGAATCTGCAAAAGCGGCGAGGAGTCCTGTGGCACCTAATAGACTAACTGAAGTGTAGTAGCATAAGCTTCCATGGGCATCTGACGAAGAAGGTCTTTGCCCACAAAAGCTTATGCTCCTACACTTCAGTTAGTCTATAAGGTGCCACAGGACTCCTCGCCATTTTTTTTAAGTGGGCAAAAGAATTATTTTTTCCTCTAGCCTTATTCATAGAAATGGCCCCAATTATTTTGGTAATATTTCAAAAGGAAAAAAATAAGATTTCACAAAACAAGATGATTACAAATGAAACCCCCCTTCACCTCACAGTCAGTTTCATATCATTTATCACTTGAGATGGAATGCAGCTTCTACAATATTTGCAGATGAAATTTCAACACACTTTAGATTATCAGAATGAAGGGTCCAATCCTACAATCTTTTCTTTGTCAAGTCCTTGGAATTCATTTGAGGGGATAATTCTCATTAGGATGTACTGTCATCTCAAGGTCTAATAGTTAAACTGGGCTACCCTGGCAAAAATGTATTTGGAATGAGTCATTTACTCATTTTTAGGGCTCTAGGCCACGCTTTCACAAGGTACAGTACTTATGTACAGACCTATCTTTGAGCATGTGAATAGTGCTTTTGTAGCCAATTGGCTATTCATATCCTTTATGCTAAGTATGTACTTAGTGCCCTTGCTGAATCAGAATCTTGAAGAAGTGTCATTGAATTCTAACCAGGTCAGGGGAACTGATATCTTCTGTGGGCCTTTGGACAAATTAGGGAGCCTGGGGGGACAGCGCTACGTTACAGAAGAGGCAGGGCCTCAAGCAGAAGGGTGGGATAGGAGCAGGCAGCTGCGACAACCCCTAGGACATGGTGCACCCCCCAGCTGTCAGAGCTACACAGAGCGATGTAAAGGTCCCCTTGGAATCACTGGACCCCAGGACAATTGCCCCCTTTGCCTCTGCTGTTGGCAGGGTATGAAAAACCTTAGCTGAAACATATTGCACTTCATGAGAGCACCATCCCTTCAGCCTCTTTCCCCATTTTCTCATTATGAGCAGTCCTTTTTCAAGAGATGTTTTTCCCTTCTTTGTGATCTTTGTGAGTGACTCTTCTGGCAAAAACAAGCAAGGTTTTGTTCTGATTTCTTTCATTCTTTGAAGAGTCTGCCTTGCTGCAAAAATCTGTGCTTAGAGAGAGGATTGAGTGTTTTACTAAAAACTGTGTACTGATCTACCAAATGTGCTAGAAGGCATTTGTTCTTCTGCATGGGAAAACAATTAGTGGGACCTAACGCATCAATAATTCAGGTATTGGCGAGTGTTCTTTTTACAGTTAATCTCAATGGTATAGATATCATTATGACAAAAGGGAAGAGAGCCTTCTGTAGTGGGATCATGTCTGACTACTTCTGTTAATTTGCCACCATCACAGACTTTCTTCTAGGAGCATGTCAGATAGAAAAGAATGTAAAAATTATTAAGATCAGATCTACTTATGATACAATGGTTCTCTTAACAAATTTTAATGAACAATTTAAAGTACTTCTCTGAACACTTTAGAGCCTTCTAATTATTAGACCTAAAAAGCAACTCTTATGACCATATACACTTGTATCTTCTAGTTCCTTACCATAGTTTATTTCTAGATCATTTGCAAGCAATATAATACCAACTATGAGAGAGAACAGATTTTTTTTTCTTCAAAATTTGGATTCAGATTTTCCCTCACTTTCCCCTGGAACATTGTGACATGCAGTACAGACCTTAATTATTGGTCAACTCTCAAAAGAGGCAGAATGTTCAAAATCTAAGCAACAATCTAAGTTACTGTACATTGGTCCTTCACCCAGTGACCTGAGCATATTACCACAAAGGAGCAATAACTTTTGCTTATCATATAAAGTAGTGTTTAAGAAAAAAAAAAAGGAAGCTCCAAGAAATAGTTGAAAAGTCACACTCCCAGTCTCCCCCTCCACAAAAAGAATTCTAAAATATTTCACACTTAACATAGCTGTATTGGTTAATTACCAAATCACTTACCTAAAAAGAGTTTGTACATTGACAATAGTCTTGGCATCTGCCATATAGTCTTCCTCAGCACTCATAGTACTTTCCTTGTCCACGACCACCATGTTGGCCGCGAAGGTCACGCCACATCTTAGCAAATCATCTAGGCTGTTGCAAAGAGGAACAAAGTTAAAAACCAAAATAAATACATGCCTGAATAACTCAATTAGAAAAATAAAAATTTAGAAATTAGAATAGAATTAGAAAAACATAGAAATTTTTTTCTAGGAGTTCATCAATCTTAAAGTTGATTTCTACCACTTGGTGGTGATGTCTGAAAGCACTGTAACTATCAGCTTCATGTAAGTGTTTCAGGAGAATAGAGACAATATGATTAATGAAAATGTTTTAAGAAGTAAAATAGAATCCTGCTGGTAGAATGCCAAGAATTGCTTGTCTTTCCACATTCTCTAAAAGAATGTTAGAAAGACAAGCAATTCTTGGCATTCTCTAAAAGAATGTTGGTAAAATTACTCTGTGTATGTTGCTCTTCTCCTACAAGGACTTTCACAACTCATTACATTGTCATTACCCATTTTATATAAGTGTCTTGCATCCTATGCAAAAGAAACTTTTCACATATCTTTGCACAGGTTAGAAAATTTCCATGATAGGCTGCCCCTATCACCTCATCATTCCTCACTGTCCTCCTTTTCTCCTGTTTTCCCTCTTATGCTTGCACAGGGTTAGCTTTTCAGAAGCAGCAGCAGCAGCCTCACACATGCAAGAGCAGGAATTACATTATTTCATAGCACAGTATTCCACACAAAGCATGTAGCAGCAACTACCAAAGGATTTCCTTTCCCCGCCCAAAAAGATAAAGCCAGTGTCTCTTGGGAAAAGACAAATCAAGATCCATATTGACAAAGTCACTAGAAAACATGGTTTCAATGTTTTGAGTACATCTAAATATTTTTAAATCCACAAGTGTATACAATAAAATATAACATGTATTAATGTGAGTTTGTGATATATACGTAACATAGAATAAAAGAAGAACAAAATTTAGCCACTGACTTTTTTCTTAAGTAAAATACACTATATAAAATACATGTATAAATAGAAATAGACCTTGAAAATCCAATTAATTTATAAGTTCTTCTGCCTCATTTAATAAATACATAGCAGCCACTTTCACTTATGCTCTCCTTTCCCAATTAATCCATTTAAACTAAGCCCCAAACCTCTTTTACAGGACAGTGCTTTGATTGCTGCTAGGCCCTATCATGGGGTGGCCGGGAGGGCCATTTGTCCCAGGCCACTGGAGACATAGGGTATGTCTACACTACCCCGCTAGTTCGAATTAGCGGGGTAATGTATGCATACCGAACGTGCAAATGAAGCCCGGGATTTCAATTTCCCGGGCTTTATTTGCATAAGCCGGCCGGCGCCATTTTTAAATGCCGGCTTGTTCGAACCCCGTGCCGCGCGGCTACACGCGGCACGGGCTAGATAGTTTGAACTAGCTAGCCATTCCGATCTATCTGTACACCTCGTTCTAATGAAGCCCGGGAAATTCAAATCCTGGGCTTCATTAGCAAGTTCGGTATGCATACATTACCCCCCTAGTTCGAACTAGGGGGGTAGTGTAGACATACCCTGGGGGTGAAACGTTTTGGCCCTGATGCTGATGACCACGAAGGCCCCTTTCTCCCACTCGGTCCTTGTACACGGGAGCTTCCGTGCAAATGATAATCAGACTTTTTGAGATCAGCACCCCCGTGGTCCCAGATGCTGTCTTCAACTGGACTCCAGCAGGGTAGCAAAGCCAGCAGCGTGCTGGCCATTGCTCCAGCGACCTGCAAAAACTGTTTTAAATCATTGTGGGACCTTTGGCCTTCACCAATTTTTTGGTAACATCCGAGTTTTCATCTGCATGACTGGAGCCTGGAATAGCTTCTATGATTAGTGATTCTACATTATGAAACACTTTGTATAGTTTAGAGGTTTTGAAAGTTGTAATTAATTCTGTTACTGTAAAGTGATTTTGCTTGGTCTGAAGGTGGGTTTAACCTTTAAATTAGATGTTTTATCTCTGCATAGGAGATTTTCGTATTCCTATTTTTTCTTGTGTGTTTTCATATACAATAAACATATCAGGCTCAGCTGTAAGCTGCCTCTTTGTCCAGTTTTAGATTAATCTTTAAAGGCTTTTTTGTTATAATAAGCTTTTAATTTTAGTTGTTTAAGAAGCTTTATATCTAATCTTGCAGTTGCCTCATGTTCATATTCATAATAACACACCAGTTATCAGAGGAATTTAATAATAGGAACATGTTAGTAGATGAAATTTCAAGACTTTGAAATAAGGCTATAAGGGCTGTAGTAAATAACACCCCTAACTGTTGTTATATAATAGTCATTGTGAAGTATATATCATTAAAATTTTGTATAATAAATAGCTTTTAGCAAATTAATTTATTGTGTTACCGTGTTTTAAAAGAACCCCCTTTATAAAAATGAAGCAAATATTTGGAAGTGGTGCAAGTAAGAGACAGTGAAAGCAACAGAGTAAAGCAGCAGTTACATTTTAAAGCCAGTAACTTCATTTTTTGTAGAAAAGATGCCTCATCCATTAGACAGTGACCATATTGACAGTGATTCTTCCAATTCTGATGATGAAAACTTTGCATACACAAATGACATTTCAATACCACTGTCTCAAAATGAGAAGGCAGAGACAGAGAAATACCAACTGTTGTGAGAGATGCAAAATCTATGCTCAGTTTAGACACTGTGCAGGCAGAAAATGAGGACCTTGGAGATGCTGTGCAGTGAGAGCAAGAACTTATGACTAGCACAGGACACAATGTAACAAAAGTGGCATCAGAACCCAATATTTGACTTCTTGATAAGAACAATGTTGCTCAAATGCAGTCATTTCTCAAAGTTAGTAGTTTTCAGATTCCAAGAAATATACCAAAAGATGCTGAAAATCATGCTTTTCCCACTCGTCTGCTGCCAAAAACTTTTCCAAATGGAGAGATCTACACAAATTATTGTCTCTGCTGGTACATGGAAAAGCAGGCTCTGTACTGTGTACCCTGTTTCATTTTTAACAGTAATACTTCAAATGCATCAATACTGTTTGATCCATCAAGTTGGAGCAATCACTAGAGGTTGGAGGAAATTGAAAGACCGAATACCTGCACATGAAACTTCAGTATCACATAAAGATAACTATGTTACATGGAAATCAGCTAGCAGAACAGTACTAGCTAATGGTTCAACAGAAAACTTACTCCTGAGTGAAATAAACACAGAAACTGATGATTGGAAAAATCTCCTTGAGTGCATATTAAATGTCATTCTTTTCTTTTTTTTCTGAACATGGATTGGCTTTGTTTGGTTCTGATCAATGTATCAGTGACCCTATAAATGGAAACCTTCTTGGCATGCTTGAGCTTCTTTGCAAGTCTGACACTTTTATCAGCTATGTTAAGCAACTTCATGAATCACAAGAGAGCGGAAAATGCCTGCAAGTTCATTATCTCTCTATAGAATACAAAATGAGTTTACTGAGCTATGTGGGACATATGTGTAAACAATTCTTGTAGAGATATGACGTGCAAAATATTTTTCAATTATTATTGATGCGACTCCAGACTGGTCTCATAAAGTACAGATGACTTTGATTGTTCGATATGTTAAAATTGCAGGAAGTTCAAAGATTTCAATTGAAAAACTATCCATTTTGCTTGATAATTTCACACAAAAAATCTGGAAAAGAAATTGATGCTCGTATATTAGAAATTCCGGAAGACTTCAAATTAAATTTTCAAGTCTGCATTTGCCAAGCCTATGACAATGGTTCCAATATAGCTGGGAAGTATAACGCAGTACAAGCAGTCCTTCTTGAGCAAAATCCAAACTGGATTTTCTCCTGTTGTGGCAACCACCCACTAAATCTTGTTGGCATTGATTGCGCTGCATCATGTAAGGAAGCAATCCAGTAATTGTACAACCTCTTCAGTAGCAGTCCTCGAAAGCGGGAAATTCTGAAGCAGCATCTACCTGTTTCCCTTCACTGCATGTCGACAACAAAATGGTCAGCACACACTGATGATGTTAAACCAGTTGCACAGCATTTGGTCTCTATGAGAAAGGCTTCAAATGAGCTTGAATCTCTTACTCTCACAGCGCAAGCTTGCACTGAGTTTAAGTCAATTCAGAAGTATATATTCTAATTTGAATGCATTTTAATGTCATCGATGTGGATGAAGCTGCTAAAAATGATCCACAAAATTAATCTTGTAATTGAAGCATGCAATGTTACAGTAGATGTTGAGAGGGATAACAATGAATGACTTCTTAAAGGTATTCAAAAGATTTATGAACAATGGGATGTAATCCTTTCTGAGTCCAAATCACTAGCACAGAGAATTGACATTTCATCTGAGATTTCCATCTCAGGCACCATTGAGTCAAGGGTTATTTTTTTTTTGTTATTAATGGAAAAAACTGATTGATTTAGAAAAGGGGAAATCAGGTGGATGAGAGCAGACTGACTTGGAGACATTGAACTTTTTGTCAATGGGCTAGAATAACCCTGGGTATGTCTACACTACCCCGCTAGTTCGAACTAGCGGGGTAGTGTAGACATACCCAGGGTTATTCTAGCCCATTGACAAAAAGTTCAATGTCTCCAAGTCAGTCTGCTCTCATCCACCTGATTTCCCCTTTTCTAAATCAATCAGTTTTTTCCATTAATAACAAAAAAAAAATAACCCTTGACTCAATGGTGCCTGAGATGGAAATCTCAGATGAAATGTCAATTCTCTGTGCTAGTGATTTGGACTCAGAAAGGATTACATCCCATTGTTCATAAATCTTTTGAATACCTTTAAGAAGTCATTCATTGTTATCCCTCTCAACATCTACTGTAACATTGCATGCTTCAATTACAAGATTAATTTTGTGGATCATTTTTAGCAGCTTCATCCACATCGATGACATTAAAATGCATTCAAATTAGAATATATACTTCTGAATTGACTTAAACTCAGTGCAAGCTTGCGCTGTGAGAGTAAGAGATTCAAGCTCATTTGAAGCCTTTCTCATAGAGACCAAATGCTTCGAACAAGCCGGCATTTAAAAATGGCGCCGGC